GATGTCTTTCCTAATTCACTCTAAAAGAGACAAGACCTTCATGGCTGGCAATGGAGAATTTAGATAAGGTATATGTCAGACTGCTGGAAGAAGGAAGGAAGAAAATGTGCTGAAATAACAAAAAGTGTACAAAGTGACAAAAGGCACAAGAAAATGCAAAGAAAACAGGCCATAGAATGCCCAGGTCAATTAACCCAGTGGGTCAAAAATAAAGATAGATTTGGCCTTGGTCCATTTCATCCCTCAATACTCCAGACTGAACCAACAAGAAGAGCCCATAGACTTTCCATTTGTTTCACTACCACCTTGCAACCAGACCCTCTTCCTCTGACTATCCCTCAGAGTGAAAACAGACAGCTCTGTCTGAGAGAGCCTCTTCTGGGCTCTCTGCTCCTTCCCTGTGAGAGGCCAACTAGGTTCCCCCAAGAGAACTCGTATCAAAGCTGAGGTACTATTTCATTCAACAGACAGCGCTGTAAGAGCCATGATAGATTTGGTACACACCCCTGGATAGTTCTTCTCTAGGCCTAATGCCCTGAAGTCTTTGGACAGCTTGGGGAGATGTTTATTTCAAATGTCATTCAGCATTTCCTTTCCTTTGCCCGCTCTTGGCAAGACTGCCAACCCAGTTCAGAAGACTCAGGCAGGTAAGAGACATTGTTTCCTTACAGCTGTCTAGGAATGTATCAAAGAAAGACATTGGGCCATAGTCCTCAAGGAAATATATGAATGCAATAGATCCCCTGTTCTCAACTCAAATAATAGCCTGATGCTGGGTGAAGAATACTCCTTTAGGACAGTCAGCTGTGCTATGACCCAGTCTGTCACCAGTGCAGAGTAAGGTACGCTCTCCTAGATAGCCTAGGCATTCACAGAATGCTGTATGTGTGCATATCCCATTCTTCACCCCCAACAGCAAACTACAGCTGTCCACTCTTTGATCCAGACAGCATTCTTTTGACCCATCAGAGTCTTCATCCCTGATTACAGAAGGTTTTTACTGTCATTAGAAGAAAAGCTTTCTTCCTTCTTTTTCTAAGCTGAAAAATCACTACTTGTTTGCAGCTACACAGATAAAAAACTTGCTGACAAATTTCAGTTGATGACTCCATACAATCAGCAAAAGATCTTGAAAATTTCAGAATCTGCTGCCTGTGAACTACATGTAAGAAAAATCTGATTTTGTAATCTAAGTCCTCAAAAGTTCTGTTTCAGAAAAATGAATACAAGTCTTCTTTCACACTAGAAAAATTTTACTTTTCCTCTCTAAGTCAGCTTCCTCAGTTAGAAATCTGTTAAATATGAAATTGCACGTATGAATGTTCCAATATTAGTATTTCTCTTATGGTTTTTCACCTCCTAATTTATAACTTGAAGTTAGAATTTTGTATAATATTTTGCAGTTACTTATTAATTACTTAACAGGTCAATGTTTCAATCAACAGTTTTGTATTTTTTAGCAGCCAACAAAAACCATAAAAGTAGAATATTCCTGGAAGGTAGCTCTGATATTTCAGAGTGCAGTGTAGAATTCTACATTTTAGTAAACTCTAATTATTCACACAGCCTTAAAGATCTTGACCTTTTCAAGTGGATCTAGGTTTTCTGATGGAGTGACCCCAGATTTCTCTCTCACTGGGTTAAGACAAGTGACAGAGGTTACTGACATGCATCTTGATGAGCCTGAAAGGCAAAGTTAAGAGCTGAATTTAAACTCTGTGCTAACCAAGGTTTCTCCCTTTGTTGTGAAGAATGTGAAAACCATTCTAATAAAGACCATTTTAAAAAGCAGAAATGTTGACAGCAAAATTAACTTTGATGTGATTTTCTAGCCCTGTTATTTTCCACCATGTCATAAAAATATAAAACTGAAAAACTGATCTGAGAGTCTTACAGCTGCTATGGATACATGGCTGTGGCAATGATGTGTTTCTTTCCTGATGAACTAGCAATATAAATATATCTGTTATTTACAAGTATGTTGCTTCATCTATCAAGGCTGCACAGAACAGACTGCACTAAGTAGGTAAGTGAAGCATGGCTGAGAGTGATAAAAATGAAAAATTACTCCCACTTCAGTTATGCTAATTCTGAGCCATGTTTACAATGTTTACAACCCTTTTTAAGGTAATGCCTACAAGAATACAGCTTTAATGAAAATTGCATCATAATATCCAAATTAAAAATATTCATTTTATTCCTTTTCAGTTTATTTTACTCAAATAAAAGGAATTCAAAAGCCATACTCAAAAAAATAAAGAAAACAAATAAAAGCTCAAAGAATTTTAAATGCCATACTCAATTATATTATATTACTAATTTAATAATCAATAATACTAATTTAACTGAGAAGAAAAGGTCTGCATGATTACAAAATCCTTGTTCTGTGACACCAGTTGTATAATGAGAATGGCTCTCTGAAGTCAGGACCACCAGTGAAAATCATTTGACAATTACCCAACAATGGGGTGCAATAAGTTTCAATATTTCCTTGCATTTAGCTTCTTCAGATCCCTGTATAGAACTGGAGGGCAATTTAAAGCAGGAGGGTGATTGAAATGCTTTTAAAAATTGCCTGGAGAAGCTTAGGCAGGTTCTTTTACAATAAGAACAAGAGTCCAACATCTTTCATGCCAGGGGTTGGCAGCATGGGTAACCCCAGGTTTTCCCCAGGTATACTTGTGGGGTAATTGTCAATAGGTGGAAGCAGCTGCCATCTGAAACATCTTTGATTTAAGTAACGAAGCAGAGACCGAGATTTGTGCCAAAAGCAAACCTTCCAGGACAGTAGAATATGTAGAATATGAAGAATAGTAGAATATGGAGAATAGGTTCTGTCCTCACAGACAGGGGGATATTGAAAGGTGTTAAAGGCTAGACTTCACAGCAAGGTTTCCCTGCAAGCGCTGCTCCTGTGGTTGCAATAGATACGTGGTTACAGAAACAGATTACTTCTTGGTCTTTGGTGGATTTTCCCTTCACCAAGAAGACTTGTATCTGCCTCCACCCTCCTGGGATTAAATGTACAGTGTCAGCTTCACGCAGGGAGGAAGAACAGATCTAAAGGGCCAGTGTGCTTCCATTCTGCCAAAGGCCAGGGCAAAATCAGAGCTGAAGGGCCTCTGTATTTCTGCTACAATGCAAAACACTCAGAAACTGAACCATTCCTTTACATGGAAATTCAGTATCTACCCTATTTTCCCATGGCTGTAATGACAAATATTTTCCCCTTTTATGAGACTGAGATAAACTTCCTTCAGACCAGGTGATAGGCAGACACTGAGGTACAGAATCTGCTACTGCCATTTGGTCCAAGAGAGAAGGACGTGAACTGAGGGAATGTTTTCTGTGGGGTTAATCTGCTGTGTGATGAGAAAGGAGTGGGTGGATTTCTGACAAAACTATTGAAAGAGGTGCTGCTACATTTGTTATCTACAGGTACATACTCTGCTCCTGCACTTTTCTTTAACTTTATGATTCTGTCCCAGTTGTGTTAACACAATATTTCATTACTATAATTTTGAAAAATTTTCTGACTCATCAGGAAATACTTGTGGGCTTCACCAACTTTTCCACACTTACCAGAAGGGGCTCAAGTTTATTACATTACTTTCTTGTGCAATTCAGAGTTCTTGACTTCAGGAAGGTTTTCAAAACCCAGCAGATGGGTGATATTTTGGGGAAGAAAATGTGGATTCAGTATAGAAGATTTAAAGGGGGGAGGAGGAGGAGGATATATTACATCCCTTTTAGTATTTGTTTTATTCATACTCATTTTTAAGGTACAGTATATTTTTTATTGCTTGCTTTAAATCTGGGGAAGAAGCAGACTTTACAGACAGGAAAGCTTTGTGGAGTAATCCAAATTCCACTGCAATTTTGCATGTGGAATGTAGCATATATTTTAAAACACACAGAATAGCTTTTAAAGATACTGAATTTTTTACTATTCTCCATACGTTCACTCACCTAGGAATTAGGCCTCATGCTTTGACCATTCCTGAGTTCTCATCTTAAATCACTCCCTAGGATTCAGTGCATACTGCCAAAACTTTGTATTTTCCACCCAGAACACAAAAAGTGATAGTCAAGAAAAATTTTATTCTTACATAATAAGTTATTTTTATTATTATCATATGGATTTAAAATCAATTTTATGATAAAAAAATTGTAACAAAATCTGTTCATATGGTTCCCTTTTCTAAAGATGCTACTACAAATGAAGTTTATGTAAGTAACTCCAGAGTGATTCTTATATTGGCCAGGTTTCAGCTGAAAAGTAGCCTTTTCTTTAAGCCTATCACTGTTCTTTTTCTGTTTCAGTTTAGCCTTTTCTTTAAGCCTATCACTGTTCTGTTCTGGCTTTGGTCTTTCTGTTTAAACCAGATCTGTGGAGGAGATGACAAAATCAGCAGTATTTGTTATCCTTACATTGATGACTTCTCTGGACAAGTAGCTCAGAAGACAAAAAGTACTCAAGGTTGCTGCCTAACAATTCTTAGGTATCAATAAACACTTCATAGAGTCTGTATTAAGCACAGGATCCCAGTGACAAATAATAACAAATCCATAGGGAAAAAAAAGAACCAAAAACAGGCACTGAAGAAGCAGAATTGAATTACTTGTTTTGAAGGTATTTGATATAGAGGATATATTTCATACTAATGCAATCTATAATTATTTGCAAGATCTATTAAGTTTAGTAAATTTAGTGGATCTGTTATTACAAATAAGTTTCCTTTTGGAATATCCCATCTGAACCATTAAAACTTATAAGAAATGGGCAACCCACTCTGCCTACATAATTTTTAGACTCTGCCATTACAAATTTTGCTTCAATTACATAAAAAACCTAAGATTAAATTATAGGTTTTTTTCACTGTTTACTCTGTACAAAATTAAGATGTGAAGCATATTACAGTGGTTGGGGTCATGAAAGCTTTGGTGTACTGTCAAACATTCCCATTCTTCAGAGACATCCCATGCTTCAATAAACTCACCTGTACTGACAATGCCTTAAAAACTGTTGTCCACACACAATGTCAGCACCATCTCCAGTGAGTTGGCAGCAGCCTCTCGTCACCCTCACTTTTCTTGGCTTCATAGACTGAGAACAGCAGTTGAGTTGGCCCTGGGTTGAGGCAATAGGCAGAGGTCACAAACAATGAACATGACACACCTCAGCTAAGTGAATTAAAAAGCTTCAAACATGCGTCTGGTTGTTATGGTAACCATGCACAAATTTATAAATCCTTTTAATATACTTTTAGCATAATGTCTCCTATGATACTTACATGGTTTTCCCCTTTCTGACACCCTCCAAGAACAGTTATACACAGTTGCTTTCACATATTTTTAATTGAGGACAATAAACATATAAATCATATTCTCAAAACACAATAAAAAACCTTTTAGGCATAATTAAAAATTATGTTCAATTTGTTTCATCAAAATCTGACAAGGATTTATGGCATAAAACCCAAATTTCTCCAGCCTGTGTTTTTTATAGCAAAAATATTTTGCATTACTAATTTAAGCATATTCCATTATTGAATTCAAAATCTGAAACTGTTTTAGCTAAATAATACAGACGATAATTTTCTAATGCAAATTGCATTGCACCAGTGATGATGCAATTACAGAATTACACAATACATAAAGATTAATTCCTGGACTGAAATTTGTGGATATCCAAGAATCAATAACTACAACATGACCTAAATTTCTTAAAAGAAGACAGATCTCTATTCCAATGCAAACTATATTCTTCAATAGAGCTAATTTTCTAAATCTGAAGACCATTATTTTGAAGAAGAATCAAGCAAAGATATGACTATGTGTAAGTAGCTTCTAAAGAGAGATATTCAAAGAAGATAGGAGATTAAAATATTTTAAATTGATCTATATTGATATATAAATGGATAATATATTGATATATAATTGATATATATTGATAGATCAAATGAAAAAGGACTAAAATGTTTAGGGAAGTTAATCTCTGGGAAAACTCATAGGTAGTAAAGGTAAAGCAAATGAGAATAAAATATTTTAAAGTATACTTAGAGCAAAATATATTGTAATAGTGGTATAGTCTCACTGTTGGATTTTGATATTCACTATAAAGTTGAAAAGTGTTTCTTAGCTTTATGATACATGTTTAAAAGAACACAGAATGAGATATTCCAAAGAAGATTCTGGATGTACATACAGACAAGGGAATGAGGTGCTGGAAATCAGTGCTGTGGAAAGGGAGTTGTGGGTCCTGCTCAATAAGCTGAATATGAGCCAGCAGTGCCCTGGCAGCCAGGACAGCCAACCCTGTCCTGGGGTGCATCAGGTACAGCACGGCCAGCCAGGCAAGGGAGGGGATTGTCCTGCTCTGCTCTGCACTGGGACAGCCTCACCTTGAGTGCTGGGGGCAGTTTCAGTCACTGCAATGTAAAGAGGACATTAAGTTATTAGAGAGTGTCCAAGGGAGGGCAATGAAGATGCAGAAGGGCCTAGAGGGGAAGCTGCATGAGGAATGGCTGAGGTCACTTGGTCTGTGCAGCCTGGAGAAGAGTGAGGAGAGGCCTCACTGGTCTATAACTGCCTTGGGAGGGAAGGCACTGATCTCTTCTCTGTGCTGACCAGCAACACGACCCAAGGTTTAGGTTGTATATTGGGAATAGGTTCCTCACCAAAAGGGTGGCTGGATGCTGGAAAAGGCTCCCCAGGGAAGTGGTCACAGCACTTGACAGAGTTCAAGAAGCATTTGGACGATACTCTCAGGCATACAGTGTGACTCTTGGTGTGTCCCATGCAGGGCCAGGAGTTGGACTTCAAAGATCCTTGTGGGTCCCTTTCACAGAATGTTCTGTCTTCCTGTGAAGTAATCTAAAGTGTACTAGTAATAGGAAATTTCAAACAGTCCTGTGAAGTTTAGACACTTTTAAAATTGAGTCTTTGGTAATTTACATCTCAAAACTTCTGGATGAGCATATTGCTGGTTTCAGAATTGCAGGAACATTCAAGAAGCCTGAAAGGTTTCTGGTGCTCTGCTGATACTCAACAAGAGTAATGGTAGGTAATTATAGGTTTGGTAGCTTGCCAAAAAGCCTTGGGAAAAAAAAAAATAAATGTTGATATGAAATTCAATTAATAAATACAGAATAATAATTTATTACAGCCAAAATAATTTTACAGAATATAGGTCTCATCAAACAAATTAATAAATTTTGTATGAGACTACAAGAATGAAAAAGATAACTGGATGGATACAGTAGTCTGAAAATATATTTGAACCTCCATTGATTATCACTGATCTTAAGAATTATCACTACAAAATACATGACAGAAGCTGAGAACTGTTCAATAGTTATATATCAGAAAGTAACTGCTTTTGTCCTTTATCTTATAACTCAATATGTTAGTAGCATTCTTCAGGGTTTGTTTTCAGGTTTGGTGTTATTCAAAAGAATAATTAAGATTCAAATGTAGATATATAACTACTTATAATGTAAGGGTGGCTGCCCCCCACTAAATAACAATAGCATCAATGTCATCAAGCTTGCTTCCTGTTCGAACACTTGCAAAGCAAATGCATTTACAAGTATAGGAAACATTTATGTCAGTCTCACAAGTAACAGAATAGTTGTCAGCAAAGTTCCTTAGAAATTAGAAAATGAGATAGAATTGTCAGGTTTTTTCATTAGTCATAAATGAAATTTCACAGGGATCTTTACTGAGCTCGTTTCCTCTCTTACATATGCATAAAAAAACTGGAAAAGAAGATGAAGCCTTATGCGAGGCAGTTTGCTGATGAAATGTATAATCCAGCCAATAAAAGGTGAGGGCTGGTTGCCAAGACCTTGCAGTAACAAACATGAGACCTAATGAAATGTAATGTATATATACATAAGGCAAGGTACCAAAGTAGTTAAACCAAAAAACATCAAATCAAACAGACAATGGAGCTTTCAACATCACAAATACTATCTATTTTTAATTCTGCCACCTTATTTTTTTTTCCATGCAGAAAGCTTTGAATCCAAAGCTTTCAAAATTGAAGCCGAGACAAGAAAAAAATCTTAACACTTTCAGTCACAAGGCTTATTCTGAGATAGAAATACAAACTGAAAATGGGGAGTGTATCAGGAAGTGCTGAACAATATGAAGATGAGTTTTCTGGTATCACCTCTGCTCTGTTGAATGTTAGTGGTATCTTGCCTATCATCCCAGTGGTTCTTGGAGATTGTCTTCATCTACTGGCTCAGAGTGCCCAAACAGTTTAACAATGTGAGGCGAGCTCTAATTTTTCCACCAACCTCATTCCCTTTATTGCATCTTTAGCAGCTGTATAAAGAAAGCTCATTCAAATGTTTTAGAAGTTTTCTGTGATTCTCACTCACATTCAGACCTGTTATTCTGAAGACAGGTTATCCTTCTTTCTTTTAAAACCTATCATAGCAATATTAAGTGACAAACATCACCATTTTGAACTACATTTACTATGTCCTGAATGTCTTAGTCAAAAAAACTTAATTTAATTACCTTCATAATAGATACATACAGAAGGATTGACAAAAAAATGAAGCAGTAACCTGATGCTGAGTATTTAACTTGAACTGGTGGGAGGTACCCTTGGTTCTGGAAAAACTTAAAATTTACTAATGTTGATAGAAAAAATTCAACTCATGGATTAAAATGTAAATCAGAATACAGGTCTACTAAAAGGAAAGAATAACTTCAAATGCTTTGGATACTAAAGTGGGAAAGACAATTTGCAGTATAACATGAGTCACCTTGGACAGAATATTAGAACACCTGCAAAAGCTACAGCGTAAAGCAAAGCTATCGAATGGCTGTCACCTGAAAAATAATGTTTGGCAAGAGCTACCGTGAACAGCATATTAAACCTAAGCTGGCATTGTAAAATGGTGAAACAAAAGAAAAGCTCAGTTGCATAGGAAACATGGAGAAGGCAAACAATTTATTCTTTCAATATGAGCACATGAATATTAGAAAAATAGTCAACACATTAAACCCACAGACCAATTTCTTACCACCCTAACACGGAGGTTAGGCCATAAAAGCTCCTGTCACACAATAAAGTTAAAGGTGCTGGTATACAAATGTAAACAAGATTTCAGATCAGAAATCTGTGCAAAGACTGCAGCTGACAAGCCAATGAGGTCATCAGCATAGGCCCAAAGAGCAGAGACCACTCCAGCCAAATATCTCAGTATGCTAGACTTACGGAAGAGCAGCCACAGCAGAAACAAGTGAGAGGAAGTTACTGCTGAAATCTAAACTCTGATATAAATAGTCATGTAACTACAAAATAAATTTGGTTAAGACTAATCTGGATTTCTCTACTTCACTTTGCCCTGTTTTGCATGAGCTCAACCTTCTGAAGTTGTCAGTCAGCTGAAAGAATTTTAGGGATGTGTGGAAGGACAGATGAAAATCGAAGGAAATAAATACTATTTTCCCCTATTGAGCAAGGAACCCCAGATTAATTTCACCTTCCCAGACTTTCACTGCCTGCTAAACCAAAACGAAAATCTTGAGGAAAAACAACAAAAATGACTGCACCAGCAATTTATAAGGCTGAAGCTCTTTCTCCATAGAAAACCAGAATCACTAGAATTGTTCTAGAGAAGTTAAGATTTTGCCATCATGTGCTTAGGGAAGAAGAATGGCTCTGCAGGTTTTCTCCCTATAGATATCCACAGCAGAGCATGAGAGTCAGGACAGGAGGAAAAGGAGACCTGTCACAAGATTCTTGGTGGCTGGAAAAAAAATGAGATAGATGAAAGAAAAATTAAAGATTTTGTGAAAAGTTCAGGTTGCCTCCTGACTGTAATACTGTAAATACTGAAGCATTGAAAACTGAGAAGGTTCATAAAATCAGGCCCTTAGTCCACTTCTTTTCCCCACTTACCACAGTTGACTACACCTATTTTCCCAGTAAAAATTAATTCTGATTAACATCCCACAGTGCAACTCAAGGCAAAGATGGGAGGCAGAAGAAATTATTGAACAGAGCTAGTATTGGTACACATATCTAAGCACACTTCTACACTCTGCAGTTCTCTTTTCATGTACCTCCCACTGACTCCTCTCTATGGAGGCACCTCTTTGTCTGTA